ATGGAGTACAGAATGCTTTAATTATTCATAGCCTCTGGGCTGCATACCCACTTCATACCCCACTTTTGTAATCTATAACTTGATTCTCCAAAAACAAATCCATATTTCATGTGAGACTGCATCACAAAATACAGACTAAAGCATCTGAAAGGAAAACAATCACAGGATTAATGGACTAGAGAGAACAGGTTCTAATTTATCAGGAAATTGTTTCTGAAAGGTGGGGAGGAGGAGAGGGGAGGGGGTGGGGGTGAGACCAGGAATCTCTTACATCCTTATTTGCATTTATTTGAACAAGAGCTCTTGGCTGTATATCATCAGTTTGACCTATGTAGAGCCAAAGTGTGCATAGCTGTGTAGCCTAACAATTCCCTCCTGCGTATGCACTGGAGCTGGGAAATAATAGAAAGAGAACTCAGAGAAAGAAATAGTAAAATATATCTGGCCTGTTACTCATCAGTTCCCACTACTCTCACTTTACTGTGGAACTCAGGCCTCCAGGCAATACAATCGAAGGAAAGAGGAAAAAATGTAGTCTTGTTTTGCTCTGCACAGTTTTGTCATCTAAACAGTACTGCTTATTTTGGCCATACTAATGGATCTTCAGTTTCACAACCAGTCTCATGTCAGAGGCAGAATGCCCTAATTCATCTGTGTATACTGACAAGTAACATTTACTGAGCACTGAGATGCAAATAGTGCAGAATTTCACTAAACCCAGAGAGATGCTGTTTTAGACTTTCAACATAGCAGATGTGAATCTGGGGAAAGGTCCAATTTGACAGTAAGTTACCTGAGAGACCCTCAAATAAAGCTGAGATGTGTGAAATTCTTGAGTCACCCATACAACACACTTAATGGTACTGAAGGAAAAAAAGCAGAAATTAACTTCATGTATTCACTGAGAAATATTTAATCTGAAAAGATAAAATAAGTATTTCAAATTTCTTAGAGAAAGGCTTTATATTAAGTTATAAGTTATCAGGCACATGCATGCAGTCTGTACGTGGCAGTACAGCTGAGCATATTGCTAGAGTGAAATATACTCCTAACTTTTGGCTTTTATGGAAGACTCCTGATTTTGTCTTTCAGGCCATTCCCTTCAGTTTGAACCAAATCATACACCACAATCTTTCTGTTTACGTTTTCTGTATATCAACAGTCTAGATCTCTGGCCAGCTGGCCCTTTATGAAAGCAATGATTGATGTAACTTTTCACAATATAGAGACTGAGTAACCTGGGTCACATCTATCACATAGTCAATCACCTTGTAAGAAGTGCAAAAAAGAAAAAGTACACTTCACTTTTTAATGCTTAAAGTAGTTATTATTATTTTTTCCCAAACTGTAATTTATCATGAATATCTGCTCATACCATTTTAAATGCATGGTAGCAAGACAGGTTTTAGCATTTTTCTGTGTAATTTACATGAATTTAATTTTATTATATATCAACTTTTATCCCTGTGCTTCAAGAGATTTCAAATGGTGGCTATGTCACTGTATATGACAGAAAGATGAAGTTACTGAGCCATGTTACTTGGAATAAGCACCCAATGTTTTTCCCTCCTGCTCTACTGCCTTCTTTGCAAGAACAGCATCTCACTCTGCATGTAGCTAGGAGTTGCTTTTGAATGGAGACTCAGCCTGCTGTTATTAGAGAAGGAAACTTAGGAATGGCATTGCCTGAGTGTTATGAGGAACACTGTTACACTTATTTTCCTTCTCCTGAGAATGTATCAGTAATAAACAGAAACTGATACTCCTACCAATGTGACGGATAACAGCTTGCACCAACATGAGCAAAGATTCGGTGTCACAGAAGTGCAACTACCTGTGTTGTGCTTTCCTTTTAGGTTTCAATGATTTGAGCAAATGCTGGCATTTTTTTGCCATACAGAGAACAGTATGTTGAGTTCCCTAGGAAGGAGATGCCTGCTATTAAAACAGCAGTGACAGCTTGTTCATAGATGAAGCACATCCCTACATGGCAGAAAATTCAAAATCCCTGTTGACTTTAATAAGGATGTTACAAACACATAGACTCAATAAGCTTCCATGCGATCAGGTCCTTGGGCCATCTCTTCCCACTGTTCTGCCCCAAAATGTCTGCAGTTTTCAGGTCTGATGGGTCATACAAAATGAAAGTGTGCAGGGTGGCAGGGAGGGGAGAGAAGGAACCCAAGATACTAAAAGGGTCATTAATACAGCTTTGGAGGGAACTTCCTCATTGTCGAGATTTAGATCCCAGCAATGAACTGCAGCACTCTACTTATATTCATACAAATAGTCAGTTATTAAGTGGGATATGTACTTGTCTCTGTTTTCTAATAAAAGCAAAATGACATGCATGTTTGTCCTACGTATTCCTTTACATTAGTGTATCTCTTTTAGGATTCAAAAAGTGTAATTTTTTAAAATTTCTTTGCTTAGGGGATGCTGATGGAGAGCTGATAGCTAGACTTTGTGGTCAGGCTGCACCATCTGTGCCACTAGTCATAGCTGCTCCCAAGATCTGGGTACACTTTGTAAGTGATGAAAACACAGAAGATAAAGGATTCTTGGCCCATTACACATTTGAAGGTAAATGTCTTGATAGACTGTTGCCCTTGCTGAATGAGGTACTTCTGGGAATCTTGTCATTCGTTTGGCAATACTGAAAATACACACTATGGAATCAGCTCTCAAAGAGGTCCTGAAAAGTTACACAGAGCCTGCCACTATTTATATCCATCTAAACCAAACATATGCTAGCAATTGAACTTTCAGATTTATTTTCTGCTTCACTATTCCCATTCCCTGGACGGCATTTGAGTTTTTGCAATGCAGTGCAACACTCTGAACAGCTGGTTTCTCCGGGGAATAGGGATGTAACAGGTAACACCAGCCAAGTTTGACTTATTTCAGATAGGCCTCCAGAGTGCTAGCATGGCTGAAATGAATTCTCCAGCTTGAACCTTTGCACTCATTTTGAAATCCACTTAAAGCCATATCAATGCAAATTACACCACTTCGCTATTTACATGCCAGCACAACTATTCTTCCTGTCACAGATTAATTTAGCCTTGGTGCTTATCTAGACACATCAGAAAGTGTTTGACTTTATTGTGTTGATCCAAGAATGGCACTGGCTTGCTTAGGAGTCTGAGATAAATAAATGGAAGATAAGGTGGATGAGGCAGCTGTAAGTGTCAGCTGGCAAAGGTTTTGCAGAGCTATATTAGGTATCAGACTAAATACAAAGCTTCAAGGTCATTACATCTGTCTACTCACTATTCAATTACAAAGATTTTAAAACTTGGATTTTACCAGACAAATTTTTCATCTTTACCTATATCAGTCCAACTTAAGTATACTTTAGTACTATTATAAGCTGAATAATCTTCCAGTAATTTGATTATAGTGTTCAGTTACTAACCTGTATTGAAATGTTACTTTTTTTCTTCAGCCTGTGGTGGTATACAGACAGGTGAAAGTGGAGTTATCTCAAGTCCTAACTACCCAGAGCCTTATAGCAACCTGAATCACTGCTCCTGGTTGTTGGAAGCCCCTGAAGGTGAAACCATCACTGTGAGTAACACAATGCCATGATTGTGTGCACAGCTGGCAGCGTGAGAAGCACCTCTGAGTCTTGAGGAACAGGTTTGCGACAATTTGGAGTATCAGAAATATGGAGGAATTAAATATCAGCCCATCCACCTTACCTAAGAAAGAGGGAGAAACAAAGATAACACAATCAGACTAGACTGTGCTTTTTGAAAAGCAGAAGTATTCTAGACTAATCTGACCTCAAAATATAGCACTGATTTCACCTTTAAATAATGACTTCCTATGTTTAGGAAACTAAAATAACTGATGTTATTAGATGTGCATGGATATTCTCACTATCATGAGAATAAACATGAGGCTGAAGTTTTTTCATCTCTGCAGAAAAATTAAAAGCCACTAGAAAGTTACTTTCTTGTCTTAATGGTTAGTCTGGAAAATAATATTGCTGTTGCAAATTCCATCAATGAGATGCTGCTCTTGTTTCCCAGTAACTATTAACATGCTGCCTGAGGTGCTACTTTCTTGAGTCAAACTGCTGAGAGACCAATTTAATCACGTTTATGATGAAGCAGTGTTAAACTTCACCCACTGAATTATACGACTGATGCTTTGGAGAACAGGTCCAATCAGTGGCATTTGTGGCTCAGATCAGAGAAATATCTGAAAAGCAATTTTGTAAAAACACACTGCAGATTTTCATAGATAATGTCTTTCACTAATTTCCCTATATGTTTTCTTTATTTACAGCTACAAAGGCATTTCTTAGAAATGCAAACCCATAGCCCTAATTATTCTGCTTGCATGATATTCTGATCACTGCCTAGGTGCTTACTTTAGGATTATTTTAGTAGAACACAAAATTCCTGTTTATTCCACAAATTTGTTTAAAGTGGAACTTATCTTAATCAGGAGGAAGTACCTTTCTGTTTTAAAAGGACTGAGTAGCAGCCCCCTCAGTGAAGGCAGACTGTATAAGGGTATAAGCTGCTAGTTTCAATTGCTGGTAAAGTTCCAAACTTAAAACATTTGAGCTAAATTTGTATTTGGTCTTTGCCTCAGACAGAGTTCTTTTGGAAATGAATACACACAAAAGTTACAGGAAGAAGTACTACGTATTTGCCAAACTTTTCCACAAAGACTGCAACCCTGGAACTGGTGAAAAAACTTGTTGGAAGAGGCCCAGGCAGTCATTAGTATACATCAATATTTCAACATCCACAAATCCAGGAGTCTACTGGATCAGCAATCTCAGTCTTTGAACTGGAAATCCTACCCATGTGCCTATCACTCCAAGGACAAACAGTGTCAGTGTGGGAGGGAGGGAGGGTCAGAAGCTGCCTTCCCAGCCCAGTCTATTTATGTGATGCATCCAGGCCTACAGGAACCAAGCATGCATCTGTTTCTCTCACATTTAATGGAAATAAGCATTATTTTTAGCAGCTGTTAAGTATTCCGATTCAAAATAATAGGAAGAAAAAAAATCCATGTCTTTCTGATTACGTAGCTACTTCTATTTGAAGGTTCAACTTCAGATTTCATGACTGGAACCATAAGAGCAGAAAAGTGGTTCAACACCTGGGCATACTCAAGACAGTTTTGAAGCACATACTTCAAACACATGGTTAAGTCCCAATAATGCCACTTTTGAACTTGTGCATTCCTCTTCCATTCCTGTCTTTGTGCTAAGTAGCTGCTGTTTACTTATAGTGGCAAGATTCCAAGCCATACTTTCAGGAGAGTATCAAGGTGAACTGATGGTTGGAACATCTAGGAATCATTGTGCTAGGATGGCTATGGGATCTGTCTGAAATTGCTCAAACCTCTCTGCTGGTGTGGCTGGTGTTAGCTCCTGAATGTTGCTTTTATGTGTTGCAGCTTACTTTTACAGCCTTCCATGTTGAAAATCATTCGCTTTGTAAGTGGGACTCTGTTACTGTCCTGAATGGTGGCTCTCCTGGGTCTCCTGTCATAGGAAGGTATTGTGGAAACACATCCCCTGGGACTATTCAGTCTGGTTCCAACAAGCTAGTTGTCATCTTTAACTCTGATCACTCAATTCGAGGAGGTGGCTTTTACGCAACGTGGACAGCAGAATCTCTAGGTGAGAGAAAAAACACTGGTTTTGTCAGGTTTAACATAGCAGTGCATCATGCCTGTGTAGCCCTTTTCAACAACAAAATGAAATAGGATTCCTTCTCTTTAATTAAGTTTGAATTAAAGAACAAAAGAAATACATGCCAACATCTTCAGCATTCCTGAGAAACCACCACTAAAAAAGTTTTAAACCAGTGTTGTCTGATCTCACACAATGAAATCAAATTTGGACTGATTTTGTACTTTTGAAGCCTTACTGGCAGTTTCTTGATATCTGTAAATGGATACCATGCCCATTATCCACCCATAGCAGTGGTATCTATTGGCAGTGATTATGAGACATTTAATTTCTTGAATAATAATTGTTTCACAGTTTGATTTGGTTTAAACACTTAAAACTAGAAAGAGGATAGTTTCAAAACAGAAACGCAGACAGAACTTCTCAAAGAGTACATGTGACAACAGCCTAAAACTTTTCCAATTTAGTGGAGATGTTGGTACACTTTTGAAGGTGGTACACATGCAGGATTGAATTGGTACATTTTAAACAGCTACCTTTCCTCTTTTGAAATTATCATCTCTCTGGATTTAAAAAAAAAAAAATTATCTTACCACCTCACCATTTGCATCTCACTACCTCTGTACAGAGCAGGTTCCCTACTGTCACTTCCATCTGCAAACCTTCCAGCTGCTGCTAGTCAGCTTTCCATCAGTTAATGATCTAGCAGTATTCATACAGTCAGCTGATGGAGTGTCTTCTTAAATATATCAATAGTCTGTGCTTGCATGACTGTATGCTATCACTTAAACAGGTTTTTGATGCTTTTCCCTGCTGTCTCTGGGGTTTCATGTGCAAGGAAGGCCACTCTTCAGTGATGTAGCAGACATTAGCATACACATGCAATGTGCATAGTCAGTATTCTCTCTGTGAAAAGAGATTTATTTTTTAATATACCTGGTTTCCTTTCCTCTGCTTTCTTCTCATTTATCTACTGCAAATCTCTATGTTTTCATTGTATAGAATGTGTGACCAAAACTTGGCCTCATATCCTTCTAAACACAATTGCCATTTCTGACATAGAAGAATGAAAAATAAAATTTTAATTTTAAAGCTAATATACATTTTTAAATAAGAGGAAAAAAAAGTAGAATGTTATAAAGCCTTTTTTGCTCTTTATTCATCCTTTTATTACATCACCTCTGAAATAACAGTGGATTGCTAGTACTATACACATAGCCCTAGTAAATTATTCTTGGCATGGTATCTGTAAGTATGTTTCAAATTAACTGAACTTATTTTGTATAAGAACATGAGCTGCCACAGAGCCATGATCAGCTATTTTCCCTTATAAATGAATCTGTTAACAATTTTTAAAGGCATGTTTTTCAGCCCTCTCCATAATCCCACTGAGATCCACAGGGATGCCTGGGCTGGAGAAATGACCATTTTGCCCTGGGTAAACGGATGTAGCTAGAGTAGATTCACATGTGGAACTGCAATATTCACATGTGGCTGAGTGAGGAAAAAAAAGGGTTCAGCTGTGGATGGAGGTTGTTGGGGTTTTTTGTTTGATTGATTTTTTTTTTTTCCTCGGGGTGCTTTTCTGAACAGCTGTCAGGGTTGTGTGCATGATGTGCATGCTGTGGGGTGTGGGAAGGAACCTGCACAGTCTCAGGAGAAGCTCCTTATTAATGTATTTCTGACCCTTACTCTCTCTCTAAGGAATACTCACTTCTAATTGTCAGGAGTATATAGATGGGTCAGAGCAAAAGGGTTTGAACTGGTAAGGAGCTTGTGAAGGAGAGAAAGTGAAGTACAAAGAGAGACCTTCTCTAGAGTGTAACCACCTCCCTGATACAGGGGTGGGAGAAGGAAAGTTAAATAAAAGAGGGGTAAATGAAGTTTGAATGGGTGTCAGGGCCTTCCTCTCTCACTCTTGCAGCCACAAAAGCAAGCAGCCATTCAAACCTGACAACAACAGGAAATATTTGAACATTTCTCCCACCTGTTGCTATTTTTTCCAGGATGTGGTGGAACCATTCATTCAGATAATGGTGTGATCAAGTCTCCTCATTGGCCTCAAAACTTTCCCATGAACACCAGATGCACATGGACCATCATTACACATGAAAGCCAACATTTGGAGATGAACTTCCACAACAACTTCCAAATTCCCGATAGCAATGGAAGCTGCCAGAGCAGTTATGTGAAGGTAAAGTAATTGTTGGCATTAGATCAGCAGAGCAGTGTTTTAAGCAGTCATGATTCCAGAATCCCATTTTGCCATTGTCATGGTTAGGATTGTCAAGGCACAAAACTCAGGAAATATAAACTGAAGTCATTGTACCAAGACAGTATGCCTACATACAACCGGCTTGTATGTATTTTTAGTTTTTATCAGTTCTTGAGGTTCCACCTCCAGCAGGGTCCAATCAGTCTACATGCTGGCCCAAAAATAAAAAATATTTTAAAAGTACATATAAGTTCAGAACCAGGAAATAATGAGGAAATATAGTGTAATGAAAAGACCTTTTCAATTACTCCAGTGAGTAAAAAAACAGGAATGTGGCACTATAATTCTACAAAACTTCTTTATAAGTGTGTAAACTGTCCAAGCTGCACTACTCCTTCTTTTTTAAATCTCAAAAAACAAAGATAGCATTCTTATCTTTCACAGGTTGCCACTTGTTTTCAAAGTGTTAGAGTGGAGTGGACATTCTTTGAATTTTTCAGCGTCATCTTTTTCTCAGGCATTTGGCATGTGTTCAGTGGTTTTGTGCGCATTTTCTCCATGGCAGTACAACTCCTACTTGAAATAAAGGGCAAACATAATTTGACAACATGTAGGAAGACTTGAGCAGCTGTTCATCTGATCTATACCTACTAAATTACAAAACACAGTTGCACTCAGTTTTTAATGCTCTGGGAAAAATACTATTAGATTTGTCTTTTTATACGCTGCTTCACTGATTAACTGGTGTAATATGTTACAATAAACTTCACTAATATGAAAGTCTTAATGCCACCCAGTAAAAGTACTTTAATTTCAAATTTCTAAACTGTCCTGAATGATATGGTCAAAACTATGTCAGTTTGAGATTTTCCATAGAGAAATATCTGAAATTTTTGCTGATGTCCACCTCCATTTCTGAATATCCAATTTGACACGTATTAAGGTGTCTGGATATGAAAAAGTGTGGAACAGGTGTTAAGTTTCTTCCATTCATTCCAAGCTGAGCAACCAAAAAAGAGAAACCCAAAATCAGTAGTGACTTTGCAAAATCTTGGCCCGACCACAGACTGTTTCTATTAATCCTTTGAGAATCCGTTGCCTCAGACACCTGGCCAGGTGAATGAGGTGATTCATATGCCTACACTTACAGACTAATCCTTGGCTAACCCTTCCTAGGATGGTTGCTTAGAGCAATCATAATTTCATATGGTTGTTCTAGTTCCACTGGACTTCTTTCAAACACATGATTTAAAAATTAAATATTATTTTATTTTAGTATCTTTTTAGTATAAAGTACCAGTAAAAAACCTGTTCAAACACATCTATAAAAAATAAATTTATTATTACAGTAAATATTTTTTTCTTTTTTCTCAAAGCAGATATTTTAAATCCTTGGCAATGAACATCCTGCTTCAGGATATTATTTAAGCACCCAGAAACATCAAACATTTATGCCTATGTTTCATTTTATATGTGTGTTGAAATTCAGTGCTTAAACTGTGAGCCTCAAGTACATGTTTAATAAAAACCTACCTAAACCTGCACGTGCTCCTTGAATGCGTGGTTTGATTGAGCTTAAATTGGCTATTGGTGCAGCTGAAGTAATTTTTTAAAGTGTGTTTTTCTTTACTATATTTTTTGTGACTTTTTATTTTGTTAACTGTCTCCATTATTTTATACTTGTTGTTGAACACGAATGCAACATAACAAAAACTGGAATAATTTTTGATTAGCAAGACTGGTTATTAAGGATCCAGCTCCTCCAGTTTGATGCCTCTATATACTCTAGCATGACGGCTTTGATTTATATTGTCTTATGAATAAATAAGGATTACATTTAATAATTCATTGTATACACGTATATTCATATTCATAGGGTGTATGGAGATAAATTAGCAGAGACAAAATGGAGGTAAGTAATGATGTGCATAAAATCTTTTTGTCTGGTTCCCTGTACCTAAAGTATGTTGGCTCTGTTATCAGCAGGGGTTCAAGCCAATGGCCTCCAGAGGTCCCTGGCAACTTAAATTATTCACTGTGATTCACTCCTTGGAAAAGTCTTTTTGTCTCCACTGACTGTAGAGTGAACAGAGAGTGATTAACTACAATTTAGATCTGTAAGATTTAGTGAGAGATGAATCCTACCCCGAGTCTATGGAAAGAACAATTGCACATGCAATTCCTAGTGGGTTCCCACAAACTACATGGGCTTTGAAAGCACTAAACTGTTTCCAATCTGGGCTTGTCAGGTGTGGAGAGGAAATAATGAAGAAGCAGCAGCTTTGTTAACCACAGGATGTGGAAGTTCAGCTCCTGATCCTGTTGTTGCTCCAGACAATGTGGTAACTACAGTATTTCAGTCTAAGGATACTCCTGGGCCAGGTTTCTCTGCATCTTTCATAAGCAGTAAGTAATATTTAAGCCAGGTGACTGCTCTATTAGTCCATTTTGGATTAGTTTGATCTGTGTGTAGCAATTCAGACCTCAACAAGGCATTGAAGCCTCTGCCCAACTTTTGAAACCAAGAGTTTTCTTACTGAACGCAATGGAGCTACTGTGTGCTCCAGTGTTGAACTTGCCAAAGATCCTCCATGCAGCTATAACTTTGTAGCTACTCTTAGCCACCTTTGCCTTTTCAGTGTGCCAAGAAGAAATTAATAGGCTTTAAATTTTAAGAATTTGTTTTTCTGTAGTTAAACTGCTTGGGAGCTAAAACCATAATCTTCTTTAAAAGGAGAAAGTATCTGCTCCTCCTTTAGAATTTTTATCTCTATTCTTCTTTTCAAGGCACATGCTGAAACTGTGGTAATTTCTCATGTGTATGGTGTAGTCCATGCCATTCACATAAACTGCTCTCAGGAGAAGAAACTACTCTGTCCTTTGCTTTGCTTTTTTGTATTTGCATTGTATTTCATGCAGTTCAAGTGGCATTTCTTGGTTGGGCCTCTCCATTTCTTTAACCATGGCATATGCTTTGTGATGGTCAAACCCACCAGAAGGGTAGGAGGTAGTGCTCAATTACCATCAGTTGTTTGGTTTTTTGGTAGGATGCTGCCATAGGAAACCACTTTCCCTTCATTGTATTCAGATTAAACGGTGAGAAATTAAGTGCTTAGAGAAAGACACAATTGAAGTGTACAGAATTCTGAATGGAAACTGCTTTTGTTTTTATGTCTGCACTGATGTTGTCAGTAACAACTAACAACCTCTTGGTCGAGACAATCACAGGCTTTGTATGCCTGTTCCTAATCTTATACCAGAATTTCACTGTGCACTGCACCCTTTTAAGCCTGTAGCTTAAAATAAAAAGAAACCCCAAGGCCATGCAAGTTATTAGGATCAGAAGGAGCTCCATGAAAGTTAACAGTTCTGTGTGCTTGAGAAATTCTGGGTGGCAAACCTTTCCTGCCTCTGCGTATAGAAAAGCAACCCAGAGATGGCTCAACAGCAGCCTGCATCCTCCTGGCTGTCAGGCATGAAGTAAGAATGGTACAACTTGGGCTGATGGTACCACACTGCTGATGTGCCCCAATAACACATCCAGTTAAACAATATTGGCACGTACTAAGGGATTTTGAAATATGCAGGCTCCAAACCCATAAGAACGGCAGTGCTGTGTCCTCCTGGTCAGTGGGCTGAGGGGTTTTGGTCTGATCTTAACCAAGATAGTCCAAGATACTGTGTGAGGCTGTAGGTTGGAAGGCCCTGTATTTCCCAAAAACACCGCTCTGTGTGTGTAAGACTTACTTTTGCCATCATGATATACTTTTATTGACCAGCCTCTTAAGGAGAGATGAGGTCCTTATGTACATTGTTGGTTTTCTCATTGCAAAATTGGAATGATGCTATCACTTGGATTATAACTGTGTCTTATTTATTTATGTTTGCAGGATGCGGGGTAAATTTCACCAGCCGTGAAGGTCGTATCATCTCTCCTAACTATCCTAGCCGGTATGATAACAACTTGAACTGCAGTTATATCATAGATCAAGGACTACAGTCACTGGTGATCCTAGAGTTTGAGACTTTTCACTTGGAAGGTAAGTGGTTCTTCATAATTTCATTATATACTATGAAGTGTAACTTCTTACTTGAAAACATATGAGTCATGGAAAATGGCTGATGTTTTAATTTGCTGGTCCATTCTGAAAATCATTTACAGACAAACATTTGCAGAGATACTTTCCAGAGTTCAGTTTTGCATCACTGAAGGCTTCCAGAAGAATGAAGATAGATCTCACCTGTTAAATATCTTGCAGAAATGGAGTTGGGAACTGCCAGGTACTTGGAGTATAAACGTGACTGTGGCCAATTTGGGTGTTTGTTCCTGCTTTTTTTTATCACCATTGAGTCTTATAATCTTTTTGATCTTAGGCCAGCTGTTTTGCTTTTCAGTGCTTCTGTTTCTTTAACTGATAACACGGACATAAATACACTCAGGTGTTGTACAAGGATGTATGAACATATAAATGCGAAACTAGGTGAAAGACTTTTTTTGTATCAAATAATGAAGTCAGAATATAGCCACCTTTTATTTTCTTTTTAAGTTTTCAAACTGTTTTGAATTCAAAAGTATTCTGGTCCAAAATTAATTTAGGTCTGAGACAAAGATTTGATTTGATATGATCTTATCTGAACCATCTTTATTATCTCATGATACAAATGGTTGATTTCAGAATTATTTTTTTAAATTAAATGTAAACCACAGAAATTACATAATTTCTTCATGTAGAAGACATTATTGATCAGCAGACATACTAAACATTAGGCTGAATCAGATTATTGCCATTTTGACACTTATCTATAAGTACATTACTGATTGTATTCTGTTTGTGTGTTCAGTTAATTTATAAATGGATTCAAGCTTTTATTATCAAGAAGGTTAAAGCAAAGGTATAAGTGATACAGACATAATAATAAACATAGGCTTAAATAAATACTAGAAGTACTCACTTCTTGCAGGACAATTTGCTCCTTTATTGTTATAGGCTTCCTTAAGCTACACAATCTAGAAGTCCTTAGTCATGAAATAGAAGAATTTTGGATATGAGCTAAAGAACATCTAGTTATAAAAGAGGAAGTATGCCACTTTCCAGTAGCTGATTATTAATATTATTCACAAAATCTTAAAATACAGCCCTGTAGCAAAGAGAAATTCCCTGGGTTTAAATTGGAAAGAAGATTGAAACCACCATCTTCCAGACTACCATGCAGAAGTGAAAACTTATTCAGCAGTCCCACTGAATATGTTTAGCAGGTGTGCCTAAGGATTTCCAGCATGAACTCCTTTAGTTCTTTTGCACATGCAGGGCAATGTTTAGCAGCATCTGTTAAAAACATTTCTAACTATTCCATATGCAAGGAAGCATTGCACCTGCTTAGATCGTTGCTGAGTGTGGCCTATAAAATCCTAAATATACTAGTACAGATGTACTGGATTGGGTTTTTAAAGTTTAGCTATGTGCCCAATTAACATAATTTTCTACCTATTTGACCTCTCAAAAGAAATCCAACTGTTTTTTTCATGGTTGTTTAGTAATGAAATGAGCTATCTAAAATAATGCCAACAAGGCATACATATCTCATTGACTTTAACTGGTTGAGATATCTTTTCTAGAAAATGAGAAGGCAGAAGGTAATCGGCTATAGTGCAGTGACACATTGGTTAAAAATTGAATGACTTCATGCATTAGTCACAGATCTCTGATGTAGAGTAGTTATGTTTTCAATTACGATGAGACACTTGTTCTGATATAAAGAACAACTCCAAATGAGGCAGTTAACTCACAGCGGTGGTACAATGTCAGTATCTGGAACCAAATGAACGTGACACGCATGTACTAAATATTAAATGTGTGTTAAGGAAAAAATATAGCAAGTAACAGAGCAAGAGAGAACTGGAGGAGACTGTATTTGTTGATTCTGTAATAAAAATTTAACCTAAATTGGCTGCTTCCCAGTAGGTAGAAAAATTGGTTTTATCTGACTATGAGCCCCTGAAAATAGATATCAAATTCAGATTATCATCTAGATTTATCTCCTCCTATATCAAGTGAAAAAGATAGTGCTTTAAACTTAAAACCAAATGTGTTGTACAGGTGTAATGCATTGCCTTCTGAAGGCCTCCCTCACTCTTTTTACCCATTGACTATTACAGGAAGTCACAGACAATAGCTTACACAATGTACTTAAGATTTAGTCAGAAAAGAGTTTGGCTTAGTCTCTGATTTCCTTGCAGCCTGAAGAATGTCTCTTCCTGTGCCAAACTGAATATGGTTACTGAACCCCTCTTTTGATTTGTCTGTTTCATGAAGTGGCATAGGTTGCCACTTGCTTCTTGTAGTACCATCTGCTCTGTTGTGTTGGTTTTTTTAATAAAGAACCAAACAAATGGGGGTAAGTTTGTTTTCGCAGCCCCACTTCTGCAACAGTAATAAGTGTTGTTTTCCATCTGTTTTCCCTCCTTGGATCAAAGGTCAACACAAATCTAACATACTAGAATTAGTAAAAAAACCCTTATCTATCTATCTATCTATCTATCTATCTATCTATCTATCTATCTATCTATCTGTCTTAGTAAACTTGCTATCTAAGAAATAACTAATCAGATCCATCTTTTGTTCATAAGCTTTATTCAGATGAATGTCCCTACAAATACACCTCTAGGACAGCTATGGTAGTATGTTATTAAATGGCTGTAATACTCTTCAAGTATGAGTATAACATCGAATAAACTCTGAGTTCCAAATCATGGAAGACTAGGGGAAATGGATGTGAGCCTCCTGTAATACCTGCTTTCAGAATTATTTAGTATATACTCTGTCCATACAAAACAACTGCATAGTGTTGATACCATGTCAATCTGGAAAATGTTTTAATAGCTTGTTTATTTCTCATTAAAAAAAACAAAAAAATAGAAGCTGTAATCTTGCAATGTGGGGGGGTCACACCTTTGTTTTAGTCTTTTCTATCTGCTTTCTCACTTGTTACTAGTCAATTCGGAAAATAGACAAGTTTTGCAATAGGGTATATATATGAAAGACTTGTAATTCCTTCCTTTCAAAATAGTATCTTGTGCTAAGGAGCTGGTTAATATATTGCACAGGAGTATATATCCACATAATACTTATCCTACATTAGTAATTACTAACTCTATTACCATTTATGCCAGAAGCTACAGCTGTGAACCAAAACTTCATTATTTTAAGTTTTACACACTTTAAACAAAAAGACAGGTTCTGCCTCAATACAAAATGAAACAGAATCTATGGCTACAGACAGAGAGACATTGGTATTAGCAATCAGATAGTTAGGGGCTCAAATTTGGTCAAGGTTTTTGTGCAGCATCATATCAAATGAATGATTATATGAAGAATAATGAGACTGGACAGATATTTCTGCTAAATACAGACAACACAAAGGCATATTTCAAAATGTAGTGTAAGGACAATTGAAGCTCTTATCATGTGAACTTCTGAGGCAGGAGTCAATTTATCAATGCTGAGCAGTACTAAGAGATGATAGAGTCCAAACAGATAACGAAGGGCCTTGAAAGCAAGTAAATGCAGCAATTCAAAGAAAGAGGGGTATGTTCATAATGTCAGACCAAATAATTGACCTCTCCAGCAGTATTTTGAAGAAATATTGTCAAGGCTAGAAGAACGAAAGGTACAGTATCCATGTTCGAAAAAATCACTTTTTCTCAGGTGAGAGTCATAGCTATATGGAAGGATAAGAAAGCGTTTATCTTTAAGACAATAACTGGAAACACTTGACAATATTTACATCTATCCTGGATGTGAAGACCTAGAGAGATCCAAATCATAGACATGGACCTAATAAAGGCATGCAAAATGATGAGGCTGTAAAGAAAGAAGATGCAAGGGAAGTTTTGAGGGGCAAGGTGGAGAGCTCTCCTATTGAATAGTTTTATTCAGAAACAGAAATAAGATTTTAGTCTGAACAGAAAAAGGCCTGGAGGAGGGTAGTAGACTTATGGGGTCATCAGCATAGAGACAGTAATTGCATCTGTCCTTGCAAATGAGATTTTACAGACCTAATGTGGAGATAAAGAGAGAAAGAAAAACAGGAGATGTCTCATTGAACCCTCATGGTTGAATTGGAAGAGAGAATACACTAATACCAGAAGGAGAAGCAAAAGCTCTTAGTAGACAAGGTTTTATGAAGGAAAACAGTGCTGGTTATGTGGAAAGTGCCTGTCAGCTCCAAGAGGATGTGGGTCTGACATCTGGCTAAGAAAATATCTCTGGAGACTCATGAAAGCTGTTCCATTGTAGTGCAAGGGATAGAAATTGGTTTAGAAAAGATCTAAGATGATGCAGTTAGAGGAAATAAACCACAGAGGAGAATCACTGAGTATGTGTAGAGGCTGGAAGTATGACATGAGGAAATAGAATAGAGGAATCTGAGGCAGGGGATTATTTACAAAATAATGCATTTTAGTACAGTGAGAAATTAAGGAAAAGGATAAAAAAGAGAATGAGTTACAGGATAGAGATCAAACAAGCATCAGTCCTGCCAAGATTCATGGGTCATAAATTATATGGGCCCAAACAATGAAGATTCAAAGCTCAAAGTTAAGCCTTTTGCTCACAACCTTACATCAACCATCTTATTCTTTCCAGTGCAGCAGTTCAAAACAATTTGTTATTGGTATTGTGGATCTTTGCTTTGTCGAGAAATGCATTTCACTTGATGCCTTTCTCCAAAGTCTTTTCAGAAAAGAACCTGTGTTGCTTGTTCAAATCTTTTCCATTCTGAAATTGCACTTGTCCCAATTTTTCGTCATTTCTTTGTATTTTAAAATTGATTATGTTTTTTAATTGTATCATATTATCAAGTATTCTCATAATAGGGTAGGACATGAGGATATTTTTAATCAATTATTTTATTAATAGTGTAATCAACTATCTGATGTGGCTGGTTGTTCTCAGCTTAGTTACTCTTATTAGAGTCCGACAACCACCATATTTCCCCACTGGCATAATTATAGAGCACATTAGAATACATTGTCTTCATTGAGAGAGAAGGAATCTTTAAATTTGAACATCAGACAAGACCTAAAATATTTCTGGCTAGTGGGATCACTCGTCCTTGTGAAACAGAAATATTACTCCATTTCGGTTTGTCATCCTGTTCAATATGAGTCATCCTGTTTCCTACAACACTAGGAAGCAGCTTATTTTGACAGGACAATCTGCAGGAATAACTCCGCTGCATCAGTAGGTTCAGCGTCTCTCCTGTTAAATTTAGATAATTCTTTATTAATCCTTTGCAGTTAAGTCAACTGCCCTATTGTTGCTAACAGATCACTAAACGTGATAACCTCAATAAACACATGACACCCCAGCTTCCTTTATGCTTGTAAATGACAAAGAAAAAGACAAAGAAAACTTCAAGTCATTCTAGATGTTGTGTAAGCATAACAACTCACAAAGCCCATTTTTCAGTAGATGTGTGCTGTGATTTTCACTGACAGCATTAATCCAGCTTTCTTGCATAGCCCATACCACCAACTTCTCCCTGTGCTTATGGCTCCCAGCTGGGCAGGGAGGTGGTGATGTGGCTCTGAGCTGCTGGGTTGCCAGTGGCTGGTGCTCAGCAAGTCTCTGCCCAAACTCACAGCCCTTACACTGAAAGAACAGCTTGTCCTTCTTTGGAGACATTCCTCTGTCACTCTAATTCAGCTACTGACCTTCATGAAACTTATATGAACTTAATACATTTGAGACCTCTTGCCTCAGTCAGATCTAGTTTCGAATGGTGAGGTGGCTAGAAATCAGGAAGGTAGGGCAGGGAGTCAGGGAGAATGGCTTTTTCCTTCTAACTGCAAATGAGAAACTAAAAAACAAAGGGGAAAACAAAGTAGAATGCTACATTTCCCATTTCTGTGTTTCTGAATGAGCAGCTTTTCAATCACGCTAATATCTGCACTGATTTGCCTCCTAATACAGATTGCTTTTGAAAATCATTGGTTTTTTTCCTATTGCTCAGTCATCTCCCAATATCCACTGACTCCGACAGTTACAGCATTTCACTGGCAAACTGCAAGATTAAATTTACATCTTTTTGTCTTCTGAGTCAAGCTGAAGAATCTGTGATTCGGTACTCTAAAGTTTGAGGGAATTCAGAAAGAAAGAAGTAGGCTCTGAAACATGTTAGTGTAGGGACTATTTTTTCATTTTCCAAAATTCTCACTCTTAATGATTTAAAATTCCCTGCACTGGGTGCTGACTTCTAAATTAGGGGAAAGAGATACCGGGTAGCTGATTGCCTGTAACAAAAGGTGCGTTGTTTTGATCTGGAGAGGAAATCCATGCTTTTGTTAGGTTCTCTCATTTCCTCATAGATGATGTTCACTCAGCTACAAACTCCCAAGGACTCAAGCAGCCCGGAGCCTTTTCCAGATTATAGGATGTGTTGAATGAGACCAGCCTGATGTCTTATATACAAGATCTCTTTGCCTTTTTCTGCCTCAGATTTTCTGCATGTTAAAAATTGGCATTTGCTTCCTCATTAAGCAAATGAGATCCGAAGATCCTGGAATGGAAATACAAAATTTAAGTCTTATCCTGTGTGAGATCTATGTACTTGCAGCTCAGTAAATCACATAGAAGATATGCTGCTAAGATTTCTGCATTATATGTCCATGCAGCCCCAGCACTCTTGAGCAGAATTTGTCTTTATGATGGAGTGAGCATCTTCAGTGGCACGAGGGTTACCCCACATCCTCTCGTCACGCTCTGTGGTAATGAGCTCCCTGCCCCAATCAGTGTCTTTGGACCTATGCTGCTCAACTTCTACACTGACTCCCACATTACAGGCTTTGGATTCCAGGCAAGATACAGAGCAATTGGTGAGTAGCCACTGTCCTGTGCATTAGGTGTTGGAAATATTCCAGCTGGATAATAGTTCAGTGTAGGAAATGCTGTACTTCACATTGGGAATACCTTAGATGGATGTAGATGGTTCATATTCCCTCTGCACTTGCCTAGAAGTGCTCTCAGGACCAGTACATGGGACTATTTGTTGTGTGTGTTGTCACTGGCTGACATCTGTGTTATCTCACAGTTCTCATATCAAGATATTATATGGATACAAGTCAGAAACTGAAACACTTTTCCTTTGCTGTAGAAAAGAAATGCATCCCATTTTGGCAGGTTTTTTGGTGGGGTTTTTTTGTTTGTTTGTTTGTTTTTTTAAATAATGTTTTAGGAGAAACATTACCAGTTTATTTAACTGTGTTGATTTAAAAGATTTTATCACATATGGGAGAATGTTCTGATTCTCAGTTATACTAAAACTACATTATACAATATGGGAACCAGAACAGGATCTTTAAACGGATCCAGCTATATGCCTTCACTTGATCACCTTCTTGCAGTGCCAGGTATTAATGTAATTGTAATCTAGATACACTTTTATTTTTTTATATATATTTTCATCAAAACTTTTTGTCATTCAGATGTCTTTTGTTTTAAAGAGGAAATATGTATTAGAAAAAGAAGTTTCCAACTGAGTTTAGAATTTACATCTGCACAAATATAAATTTTCCAAAAGATTAATTTTATTTTCAAAATCAATTTTAATATTTTCTAGGTTTAACTTGTAGAGACAGTACTTTGATTTTTGAAAGCTATTTCATTCTCTAAGTGCAGAGAAAAGTGTGAGTTCTTAACTTTGGTATTTCCCTTAATACATTCCTCATGTTCAAAGCCACAGCAAAAAGCATAAGGATGAATTCTTTATATAAAATGAATGGCCCGATACAGATAAGACAGAGGGAATGGCACTTAGAAACAACAATGTGCAGTTACTCATGGAAAAGACCTTCATAACTCACTCAAGTCAGTTGCTTCTATCTGACTTGTGACTTCTGACATTTGAGAAAGATTACTGTAGCCTTATTAGCTTGTTCCTGTATACAAAGCAGATTCTAGCAATTAACATTCCTCTTCCCCCAGTTGTATTGTTTGCTGAAAAAAAAAGAAAAGAAAAAGAAAAAGGCTTCCCTCTCCTAGTATAGAATAATGCTCATTCTTTATCCTCCCAGCTCCTGTCCTTCATCTGCCAGTGCTTCAAGCCGCCAGCTGAGAGCAAGGGGCTCAGTATCCAGCAGCACCCTGTATGGGACTGCCTTTGTTAAGGTGGTGGCCTGGGCAATGGCATGTCCTTTAAAACATGAAAAGCTGTGTGTGGCTTTGAGCTATTTATCAACAGGACGCAGGGAAATGGTTTTTGCCAAACTAAGATTATAAAATAAAGGCTGAAGCTAACAATGGAGATTAGAGTTGGTTTTGTAATAGTTTTTGTTCCCTCAAGCACTGAAGCTGGGAACAAATATTAGCCACATCCTGGCCTCATCAGCACACATGATGTGAAACATCCATGGTGTGAAACCCTGAGAAGCCAAGCAGTGCCTTCAGTTCACAACTGCAGTGTTTAACTTGCTCCTCAGCGCCATAGAGCAAGTATCCAGCCCTCCGACTCAGGCACCCCCCACTGCTGGCAAGCACAAGGTGAGGTGGGGAACAGTCCTCAGCATTAGTGATACCTGGGGACTCCTCACTGCCTTTCTACACAGAACAAATGCTACCACAATAACCCAGCCCCACCAGGAGGTGGGGAGATGTTGAGGCTCCGTGGACAATTATTCCCGGAAAGTCAGGGGCAGGGCTATGCGTGCAACTCTGGCTGCTTTTGTGTCAGTGCCAAACTTTCAGAGGCTTCCACGGGACCAGAGTTTGGATGAGAGAATGTCTTTGCCCACATATCAGCCAGGTTTCTCTTGGCAAGCTAGAATGGGTGCAGAGCTACTCCAGACAAACCTCACTCGCGCTGCTGCATGGGGCACCCACCCCATCCTGCTGCTCCCTGGTCCTACTGCAGCACACCTGAAATCAGACTCAATCTTTTACTGCACAAACACAGAACCATTGCCATTTGGTATGGACTAGTAACAACCTGTTACTTCATTACTGACTAGTCTCCCACTGACAGACATCTCCACATTTAACATTCTAGGAGTGACAGCGAAGACTGCTCCTAATTTATCAAGGGCTTTTCCTTCCTTATGGTTAAACTCTTGCAGGAAATATGAGAATTAGGACCACGCTAGTATTCAGACATTAATCTCTCTTTTTTTCTGTTTCCCTTACAGCTTGTGGTGGCATTTTCAATGGCTCTGTTGGTGTTATCAGCAGTCCGGCCCATTCAGTTCTTGATTATCACAACAACATGAACTGTTCATACTACATCACAGTTGGAAATGGCAAAGTAGTGTACCTCAAGTATGTAATCCAAGTTAAGCTTGTCATCAAGGGGACAGGGAGGTCTCTGATTCCGACTAAAGACAGAGCAATTATTGACAATTTTCTCTCTTTCCTTATCCAAGGGGAAAGCTGAAATACAATGAGAAATGGCTACTGAAGCCACCTTTATCAACTTCAGGCTCTCTTTCTCTGTAACTTGTTACATGCAAAATATCACCACAATTTTAACTTTGGTTACCAAGAGGACTAAGAAATAGTAAAAATGCAGCTCATGCTTTTAGTTAAATGCTGTCAGCCTTTGGGGAGTTAGGTGACTCCTGTGAGTTGACAGAAGAAAAAAATAATTCTTTTAGAAGGCTGGTACTCACAGCCCAAGTAATAATACCCACCCAGAAAGAATATACTTCTGAATGTGTGCTGTCTTGCCTAAACGAGGGATATGGCTGCCACAAAATCTTGCCACTGAGAAATTAAAAGATGGATACATTCTTCTGTCATATATAAGCTGATTGTGATTTAATACAACATTTCCCAACTAAGTGGAAGGCCCAGCTGGTCTGCACTTTAAGCCTGCATTTTATATGCCTCTCACGTGCCCAAGGAAATTGCAGGCTAAGCAATTTGCAAGGATGAGAGAGAGTATGTTTGCACAAGGGAGATCTGCTGCTTCACAGAAAGCCAAAGTATGCTGACATCTTGCCTTGCAAGGGGCCCAGTGGGTGAGGGTCACTATTTCTTTGAGGCTAGTTGCCTGGAGTGTTTTGCCATGCAGTTAGTAGTTCTGCTTGCTTGGCCCTTAAAAGAAATGTTTTGTGGTATCTGTCTGTTTATGGCTTTGGCTATTGCTATTACTTGGACCTTTCCTCAAGCACTAAAAGCACACATAACACAGGAATAGAAATGAAAATGTGATACCTAAAGCTCTAAGTGTATTTTACAGATTCAACAACTTCCAGCTCGAAATATCTCCCTCCTGCTACAAAGATTACGTAGCTGTATATGACGGCTCAGACACTCATGCTCCTCTCCTCGGGAAATTCTGCGGCTCAGAACTGCCTCCGAATATTAAGAGCTCCAGTAATAACTTGTTCCTGGTGTTTAACACTGACTTCTTTGGAGCAGACAGGGGATGGAAAGCATCATTCAGGGAGACCTTAGGTAAGACTATCATCAGACTCATAACCCCAAGAATCTGCTGGCAAGTAATTTCCTTTGGGGAGGAGTGGTTATGATCTCCCTCACTAGGGGTGCTGGAAGCAGAAAAATGTTTCCAATTTTGTCAAAACTGAGTGAACTAAGCTAAATACTAGGCTCATGGTATAACTGCATTGCAGCTTTGGTTCAGAACAGATTCCTTTTATTCTTTGCTAACCTTTTCCTGCCTCTCTGAACACAATGGCATTTCTTGGGTGACTGAAGGCTTGGCAGCACCCAAAGGCTTCTCTTTTGGAGGAAATCTGTCAATATCTGAGAATTCTTTCCTTTGTAGTCAAAGGTTGGTGGTACCCTAAAGGTGGTTCCTTTCCATCCATCCATCCTCCATTTCCATTTCCTTGCAGTTCACCGCTCACCTTTTTAAAAAGTGTTAAGATCAGTTAAGATTGCCGTTCCCCTCTGGCACCACTGCGCTGATCTCTGCTCATTTTTTGGATCCATCTGGTTGGCTGGCCATAAAATAAATGGGATCATAGTGAGAAGGCACTGGATGCTAAATGTTTTGATGGACACAAGAGTCAGGGGCAAAGCTTGATTATTGCCTTAAAAAAAGCTTTAAGCCCACTAGTCTATTTTTAAGATCAAGGTGAAAAAGGAATTTTTTACATTCTTGTGACATCTGAATTGTTTAGAGATTATAAGCAACAAATGATTATTATATATAAATTGATTTAATGTCATCACTACTAGTTTTCTGTGTAATTAACTCAATGTATTTGTGATCTAGAAAGAAGTAATTGTCCAGTTTACAAAGCTGGCACTCAGACAGTTCAGAATGAAAGGCCTTTGTGGCAGAACAAACATAGTCTTCTGCTGAGTCATTTGAGTCCCCTCCCAACCCCTAGCCAGGGACTCTCATTTAATACAGTCTGAGTAAGTATTTACAGATAAGGAAAATAACTGGTTCTACAGGCTTGCCAAGAAAAATATTCCCACAGAACCTCATGGTCATTACTATTATTAACTCTTCCTTTGCTTCACTCTAAGTAGTTGCTGCAAGAACGTTTAAGACCACTCATGTGGACTGTTATTTCAAGTAACATAATGTTACTTTGCATGTTGCTGTCTTTAAACCATTAGGTATCAGTTGTCAGAGATCCCCTGCAGCCTGGGTTCATGTTTCCAGGGTGAGATCATCAGGAACTCCCCAAGCTCTTGGTCTTTCTTTTGGCATATAGTCAATTTTTTAGCCATTGACTTTAGATTTTTTTTTTTTGCAACTTGCCAGAGATTCTGCTTAAGCACACAACAGAACACAGGCCAAGCTCTTCAAGTCAGTATCATGCCTGATAACTTCCTAGAGTGAGGAGAAGCCTTTTATGAATGAACTTTGACATCTATTAGGCTAAGTTTTAGAGGGGCATTTCTGCAGGCTCCAGAGGAAAAGGAGGCTGTGATGCTGCAAGAGTTACTCAGGAGCAATGGAGTTGCAAGCTGGAAAAGATGGCCATGCAGAGACATGGGCTGTGTGACAAAGAGCCCATGGTGGTGAGATGCTTAATGGTAGGTCTTCTTTCTCCGCTGTGGGAAGCAAGCCACAGGGACTAAACCACACAGCCGTTAGGGAGGACCCTGACAGTCCCATGCTAGTACAGGATGGCCAAAAAAAAGAGAAAAGTATATTATAAAAGGAAAACATGAGTCATAGTCCTATAAACATTTCCAGTTTGACTTGTCTAAAAAATAGAGTCAGGAAAATCTGTGACACATCTTTGTACTATGAGGTCTGAGATTCTGCTTCAAATGAAAGATAATAAAACCATGAAGATCTAAAAGCCTGTTATTCTTAATGGTGCTTTAGAGAAGCTCCCTCATGTCTGTCAAAAGATAAAACCCATGTGGTTTTGTAAGAGTACAAATGCAATCAGATGATGATTAATAATGATAAATCTCTTTGATAAGGAAGATGGTATCTGTAGAGGAACAAGAAGACTCATTCTCTGTTAGATGACAATAAGCGCATTATTCTGTAGCTACCCTAGGGAAGCACAACTGGATAACTTAATTATTGCTCTCTGTTTAATGTTGTGAGTGACCCTGATTATGTATTGGAAAGAAGCGAGCAGAAACAGTACACTCGTTTACACTCGTAAACTATTTCATTTCCTCACAAGCTCTTCCAATTTCTTTCCTGATTCAGGCTTCTCTCAGGGCTACTGCCAAAATCCAGGGTTATCCATTCTTTCTCTCTTGTGAATTTCATTAGCAGGGAGTCCATCTGAAAACCATTGTGATGGGAGGGAAGAAAGAAGTAGGAAGCTCACAGAAGCTTAGCAAGACTGACAGTAACCAGATATTCAAAGAGTTAAACCCTGAAATTTCTGTAGAAAAATATGCTCTGATTTAATTACAACAATATGTTTACATCACTAATCCGGTACCCACTGGAATATTTAAGGTCCCCCCACTAGTCGGTAAAGGGAGACTAGCAGAAAGTATGAAATAGTTTTAATATGACAGTACCTCAGTCTCATCTTTTTTGTCAAATGTCTTTTCTTCCACCGTGCTACTCTGTAAGCTGTGCAATATAACAGTACTTGCATGTTTCACAAGCAGAATTTTTTGTCATAACCAACTCTGTGATCTCGTGCATTTGAGGCAGGGGAACATATGGCCCTTGTTGGTGCGGTTGAGAGGGTTCATAATTTCACTGTCTCTGCTCGACCCTTATTGTTGTCATTTTTGGAATCACTGGACATGCTCTCAGCCTGAGCTGATGAACAGGGCTGACTGGAGGATTACAGCCTTCTCCAAGTGTTAGATTTGTGGAAAGACTCCTCTTACCTTCGTTACCACTGGCCTTTTTTCTGCCTTTGTTTTCAGTCTGTAAAATGAAAATTATACCTTCTTTCCACAGCAAGTGTGTGCTCCTCTAGACAATCAATAAAAGGATGAGAAGAGATAAATCAATACCAGCTTAAGGCATTTGGTTCCATGGGATGTCTCTGTGAAGGAAGGAAAGCTAAGATCTTTCCCCAAGGAGTGAGGTCTGCACGCACTGAGCTTGTGACTCGGCCAAAGACCTTCTCCAGCTCTAGAGGGGAGACCTGAGCTTTTCAGCTGACCCTGGCTGGCAGGGACGGAGCCCTCACATACCCCTGCCATCCCTGCTGCCATAGCAGGGATTTTGTACTCTGGTGATAAATGGAGCTTCTGCCGATTCTCATCCAGCAATGGGGTGACCCTCTCACCCCAATTTGTGATCTCTCCGAGGTTTATGATGCAAAGGCTGAGAAGATATATAAGGTTTCAGGGTTTTTTTTCGTATTTTTAAGAAGTCAGCAACCCCTTTCAGGACATGTAGCTGTGACCTTGTTAACAGCACATCATTTTCACTTTGCAGCTTTCTGTGCTCATGTACATAGCCCCATTGTCTCAGTAATTAAAAATTATATTCTAAATCATCAGAGGGTTTAGGGACTTTCTGAAAGGCAGATCTGCTCATGGGGGCTGTCTGAGCAAGCCACGTGAATTTACAAGAAGCAAAGTGTTACACATGGTTAGATAAGTGAGTTGAGTCAGAAAGCTCTTCCTGAGCTTTCTTCATACAATACGGGCAAAACTGAAATGGAGTTGGGACAGCGGGGAAGGTGAGATGGAGGAGAGCAGGAAGACTGCCTGCTTTTTCTTTACAACCCTAAATCCTGCTTAATGTTGTAGCCAGCTCTTTCCCCTCTCCTTTTTTATACTATCTCTTGTGAGCATGCAGGAGAAAATCACATTTATGCTTTGTGAAAGAGCAGTAAGGTGTACTGTACCAATACCAATGTCGTCCCTTGTTTGCATTACCTTGGGGCTTGCAAGCTCATGGACTGCGATTCCACTGGACTAAGCACTGCACAAGCAGAATAAAGCAACAATCTTCTGTTGCAAAGAGATTAGCATTTAAACACAAGATGAGGAAAACCAGATGGATACAGACAGGCAAGAAGAATAGGGTGGCAACAATGAGGAAATTAGTGATGCAGGCTCTAAGGCAGAAGAAATGTCTCCAAAACCTTTGGCAACCATTAGACTGCTGGAATGTGAAGTCCTTAAACACCATTGTCCTCCATCTGCCCGGTTTTTCCCTCAAGGATCCCTCCATCCTTTTATTCAATTGAGCATTTCTATTGAATTAATATTAATAATTTTACATAGGAAAAAAAATCATAACCAAGTAGAGTTTAGAAGAAAAATAGCTGGAAAAAGGATAGACCAGAAAACCTGATTAATAGTTAATTTACATAGATAATCTAGTATGCTTACCACAGGAATAATCTCTACACTTTTCTGCCTGACAAAATGATCTATAACTTACCTGTTAAATAACCCGGTGGTATCTGTCTTTCCTTATTCTATTAGCTGTGTATTGAATTACTTGTTTCCTGTTTGGAATGCAATACACCAAGTGTCTATCACTAATAGGTTTACTGTTATGCTCGCCCCTAAGGATATTAAAGTGTACTTTTAAAAAATTGATCCAGTAGAATTTTCACAGCATTTTCATGCTTAATATAGTTCTAAGTCCAGTTCTTCCCTGCAAACTGAAAGCTTGGCTCACTCTATATTCAGTTTCTAGGTGCAGATTTTCCAGCAGTGCTCAGTATGCACAGTTGCTGCAGAGTTGTTTTGTATTGTTCAGAATTGCTGAAAAAATATCCCAGTTCTGAATGGGCAATATAAGGTGTAAAATATTGCTTTGGTCATTCTATTGCATGGGCCAGGGTTAGGTGTTCTTTTGGGGGTAATTTCTAAATTCTTACATCAACAGCAGAAATTAATTGCACTGATTTATGTAAATAACGTTAGCACCTGCTGTAGGTGGCATCAGGCACCTGTACTGGCAAGAGCAGTTACGGCCTGTTAGGTGGGAAAGGACTCAGCACAGCTGAATCTCAGGTTTCCTGCAAGTTTTTCCTCCCTCCAACAACAAAAAAAAAAAACTTAGAAGAATCTGTCCT